ATATATTTATAATTTTTGTTATTATCATCGTTATCCTATTATTATTATGAGTACTAAATGTTGGAAGAATCAAAAATAATAATGATAATATATCTATCATTATATTATATTCATTTTCATTATTACAGGTATCAATGACATGATTCATCATAATCATTTTTCGTTGTCATCATTTTTGTTATGATAATTTTTATCGTTATGATTATCTTTTACTAACATTATCATATCATTTCATTATTAGTATTGTTATTTTCATGATCATTATTAATGTTTTATCATTATCCTCATTATTTCTACCATTATTATAAAAAGCATTATTATTGCCAGTCTGCTATGATCATTTTATTATTATAATTTTTTATTTTCATCTCGTTTATTCCTTCATTATCTATCATATACGTGCATATATATTTGCATATATATCCATATGTATATATGTATATATTACATAAACGAATGGAATAAACGTTCGTTAGGGGGAAGCCAAAAGCCTTCCCAATCGCAGCACAAACAGGTAAGTGCTTATTCCTTCTGCCAGTTAAAATCGCTATTGTGCGTAATTGACTTTATCATCACGGTATGGGAAAGCTGTTGGCGCGAATAATAATGCCTGCACACACACACACACACATATATATATAAACACTGAATACACCTACAAACATACCAACCTACATGCAAAGACACGTGGACAAACACCCTCTTACATATACACTCTTTCTCTCTCTTCCTTTTACCTTCTACGTTTCATTTTTTCTCTCTCCCACATACTCATTCGCGGCCATAGCTACACATATATACATGGGTTTTGTTACAAGTACTTCATTATGCGAATATATACATTTAAAAATTACAGGATACCAAGAATAACAACTGCTTCGGTAATTCATTTATTTGAAGATATTGTCCTTATGAATAGCTATCGATCTTAGTTAATAACATATTGTTTATTCCATAATTAGGGACACCAGTTCTTCCATGGACATTTTGTCATTTCGGGGCAACTCATCATCTTCGTCAAAGATTTGTTGTTCCTGTCGAGGCTCCTCATCGACAGGCCGTTCTTCGCCCATGGGTTGTTCCATGGGCGGCGTGGCACTGAAGTCCTCCTCGCGTTCAACGTCTTCTCGGAAGAGGTCAGAGGCGCAACCCCACACTCTCCGAAGGAGGCCGCTCAGCTGCTGTTCGCTGAGGGAACATTTGGGGAACAGCTTGTTGCAGACGGACGGGTCGCGGGTCTTTGTGCCGACGTCCGTGGCGTAGACGAAGGCGGCGTTGTAGGAGGACATGGTCTCAGTGTTGTTGGAGAACATGTCGACGAGAGGTCCTCCTCTGGCGTGAGGCTGGAGGGACTCCTCGTCTGGAGGTTGCAGAGCATCTTGAGGATGCAGCCGTCGGGGTCGAGTGCCCCACGGTGACAGGAGCATGTTCTTGCCTTCATCGGCGTCTTGTTCGGTGTCGGGGTCGACGGAACGGCCGTAGCGATAGTGTCTTCTCCCGCTATAACCTCCGAGATATCGAGAACGGCCGTGATAGTGCCGTCTGTTGTATCGCCGGTGACGCCCTACCGCGTAATCGACCAGCGCCGCGCCCTTCAGAATCGCCAAGCCACCCACTACGCCACCAACGGACAGAGAGGCTTCGCAGGACACAACGGCCCAAGACACCAGCAGGATCGCCAAAGGGAGGTTTCGTGAGTGCATCTGCCGAAGGAGAATGGTGTTTATTGCGTCTCATTTTTAAGCATCAGCACCTGTGGGTGCATTTGTATGTGTGCAAATTGTAAAAGTATCAAAATAGAATATTATAATCATATATAATAATTGTCACCATAGTGATAAATATTGCTAATGATTTATCAGCATCAGCATTTAAATTAAATATCGATAAGAATTGATAATAAAGTTATAAGGTATTAAGCGACTATGCAATTAAGTTGGTATAACCACTGGAAGTTTGTAGATAAATCCATGTTCATATATAAGCTGTCGTTTAACTTGACAACTGAGACGAGCTGATGTCACAACTGACTGAACTGAGATTTCTTGAAAAATGACACAGACACAAGTGACACTTTTTCGAAGTGAATAATTGGATGTAGATTGGATTATAAGTATATGCAACTAACTGACACTTGCAAATCTTCCATGGATTCTTCATGAGTGAAAGTATAATTTCATTTATTTGAAACTATATGGCGGAAGGTAAATCGCCGAATGATCGTCCAAGTCACGTTTGGAAAAGAATTAGGTCAATTTCCACGAAGGGCAAGGGAAGGATATATATATACATACATGTATGATATATATATATATATATGTATATATATATATACACTATATATATACATATAGTATATATATATATATATACTATATATATATATATATATATATATATATATATATATATATATGTGTGTGTGTGTGTGTGTGTGTGTGTGTGTGGTGTGTGTGTGTGTGTGTGTGTGTGTGTATGTGTGTGTGTGTGAACACGGAAATTAACAAGTTTCCTGAGACTTTAAATAACGCACACGATGACGGTCGTTCCTACCTTGACTTTGGGACAACACCGCAAGAACTGCATAGAATTGCGCCTGAGTGTCCCATTATATACTCTGCGCTCGACGCTGACACAGACAGGGAGATGGAAGGAGGGGGAGGGTGGGGGGTCGGAACGCCTAGTTAATCCTTCTCTTGTCCCCCCTCTCTTCCTCTTCCCTCCGCTTCCCTCCCCATTCTCTCCCTGAGGCTCCCTTGGAAACTCGGAATGGAGAACAGATAACTAATGTGCTAGGAGTAATTATCATTAATGTCAATATTTATGATGCTATTATTATGATCATCAGTTATATTATTATCTTTATTATCATTATCATCATCACTACTACTTCTACCATCGTGAAGGGAAAAAACACTCTATCGTGTTGATACTTATAATAGAAAAAAACACACTGCACTTGTGCAAACTAAAATCACTGAAGTGAGACAACAGTCTCGGTGGACGATTCCGAAACTGTTGTCTTGCTGACTTCAATAAATTTAGTTTGTGCATTGTTGTTTTATCTGCCACTACTACCATTACTGGTATTATCATTATATCTGTTTTTCTTATTATTTTTACTATTATCCTTATTATTATTACTGTTATGATTCAGATTATCATTACCATGAATATTTTTTTATGATTGTTAACATTGCTACAGCTACTACTATTATCATTATTATCACTTTATTGTTACCATTACCATATTCTCTTTTGGCGTTACCGATGTTATTTTTATTGTTGCTATTAATAATTCTTATTTTTACTTTTATCATTATCGTTGATATTATCATTATCACTAATATTATTGTCCTTATCATTTCTACTGTTATTATTTTTTATTGTCATAAAAAATATAATTAATATCATCATTGTTACCATTATTATCATTATCATTGTTGTATTTTATTACTATTAGTATGATCATCATTACAAGTAATATCATCATTATTATCATTATTGTTATTACTATTGATGTCATTATCATTATTACCATTTTTATTAACAATTTCATTATTATCGTTGTTATGGATAGTAGCATTAGTATTAGTATTAGCAGCGTTCTATTCATCATTTTCATCTATTTATTGTTATCATTATCAACTCTTACATTATCATCATTATCATATTTATTTTCATTATCATTATTATTATTATTTCTATTATGAATCTTCTTATTGTTAATATCATTATTGTTTTATTACTATTGTTATTAATATCATTAGTATCATTATCACTATCACCGTGGTTATCATCATCGTTAAAATTATTGTTCATCATAATCATTAGTATTATCATTATAATCATTATTATTATCATCATTATTCATTCATCATATCATTCAAATCATTTTCAATAATATCATTATCATTATCGCCATTATCATCACTATCAGTATGGTTATTATCATTTCCAATAACATTGTTATCATTATCATTATCATCATTGTTATCATGTTTATAATTGTTTTTATTATTATCGTTATCCTATTATTATTATGAGTACTAGATATTGTAAGGATCAAAATAATAATTATAATAATATCTATCATTATCATTATTATATTCATTTTCATTATTACTGGTGTCAGTGACATGATTCATCATAATAATTTTTTATCATTTTTTTATGATAATTTTTATCGTTATGATTATCTTTAACATTATCATATTATTATTTCATTATTAGTATTGTTATTTTCATGATCATGATCATTAGGATTGCAATTCATATAATTATGATTACATTGTTATTATTGTTAATATTGTTTTCATCATTATCAACAGGTCTTTCTTACCATTATCCATATTATTACCATTATCATAAATACCATTATTATTGCCAATCTGTTATGATAATTTATCACTTATAACTTTTCATTTTCATTTTTATTCCATCATTATGCATATACGTGCATATATATTTGCATATATATCCATATGTATATATGTATATATTACATAAACGAATGGAATAAACGTTCGTTAGGGGGAAGCCAAAAGCCTTCCCAATCGCAGCACAAACAGGTAAGTGCTTATTCCTTCTGCCAGTTAAAATCGCTATTGTGCGTAATTGACTTTATCATCACGGTATGGGAAAGCTGTTGGCGCGAATAATAATGCCTGCACACACACACACACACACATATATAAACACTGAATACACCTACAAACATACCAACCTACATGCAAAGACACGTGGACAAACACCCTCTTACATATACACTCTCTCTCTTCCTTTTACCTTCTACGTTTCATTTTTTCTCTCTCCCACATACTCATTCGCGGCCATAGCTACACACATATATACATGGGTTTTGTTACAAGTACTTCATTATGCGAATATATACATTTAAAAATTACAGGATACCAAGAATAACAACTGCTTCGGTAATTCATTTATTTGAAGATATTGTCCATATGAATAGCTATCGATCTTAGTTAATAACATATTGTTTATTCCATAATTAGGGACACCAGTTCTTCCATGGACATTTTGTCATTTCGGGGCAACTCATCATCTTCGTCAAAGATTTGTTGTTCCTGTCGAGGCTCCTCATCGACAGGTCTTTCCTCGCCCATGAGTTGTTCCATGGGCGGCGTGGCACTGAAGTCCTCCTCGCGTTCAACGTCTTCTCGGAAGAGGTCAGAGGCGCAACCCCACACTCTCCGAAGGAGGCCGCTCAGCTGCTGTTCGCTGAGGGAACATTTGGGGAACAGCTTGTTGCAGACGGACGGAGTCTTTTGTGCCGACGTCCGTGGCGTAGACGAAGGCGGCGTTGTAGGAGGACATGGTCTCAGTGTTGTTGGAGAACATGTCGACGATGAGGTCCTCCTCTGGCGTGAGGCTGGAGGGACTCCTCGTCTGGAGGTTGCAGAGCATCTTGAGGATGCAGCCGTCGGGGTCGAGTTGCCCCACGGTGGACAGGAGCATGTTCTTGCCTTCATCGGCGTCTTGTTCGGTGTCGGGGTCGACGGAACGGCCGTAGCGATAGTGTCTTCTCCCGCTATAACCTCCGTGATATCGAGGACGGCCGTGATAGTGCCGTCTGTTGTACCGCCGGTGACGCCCTACCGCGTAATCGACCAGCGCCGCGCCCTTCAGAATCGACATGCCACCCACTAAGCCACCAACGGACAGAGAGGCTTCGCAGGACATGACGGCCCAAGACACCAGCAGGATCACCAGGGGGAGGTTTCGTGCGTTCATCTGCCGAAGGAGAGTGATAGTGTTTGTTACGTCTCATTTTTAAGCATTAACGCCTGTGGGTGCATTTGTACATGTGCAAGTTCATTGGTGTGGATTTGCACGTGTGTGAATGTAAGAAATACGATTTGTTTGCGATGATGGTGGTAATGATAATGATAAAGATGGAAATCAAGAGTTATAATGGTAACAGTCCTTATTATTATTATGATATTATAAAGGTAATAATGATATTATAAAGGCACATTGATAATATTGATAATGATTAGGATAAAAATGATCAGCAGTAGCGAACGTGGAAATAAACTGATTTAAGAACTGAATGTTTGTTTTACCTTAAAACACAATACTTAAAGTCCATTAACACGAGCTACCTTGGAATCCGTTATAAAATCAGGAGTAAGTTTGTGCGCGACAAATACTACGCTCGAACGGAACAGGAATGGTCAAGGAGCTAAGCTTACGAGTCAAGAATCATGGTCACATGGTTCTCTACATTTAACGTCCTTTGCTTGGCTGAATACGTGATTAAATACAAGTCAAGAAGTGCCCACTAGCATTCCATTAATGTTAAAAGTCCATATGGCAGACTCCACAATGAAAAATATTTCTCATCTGTATTTGTAAACGATATACACGTCACCTACTACCGTAGCGTTTGTGCGCCACACGAAGAATGCAAATTCCGTTGAAATTTCTTCATAGATTACTTGACACAACTGACACATGTTAACGTAAACGACGCATGACTGACGTGTCTTGACAAAAGTGACACCAAATGACACAACTGTAAATGCATCCTACTAATGCATATATACACAGTTTCCATGGCTTCTCCATGAGTGCAAGTATAATTTTATCTGCCAAACATTATGACCAAATGTGGCGAAAGGTAAATGTCCACAAAATCGTCCAAATCGCGTTTGAGGACGAAGACTTAGCGGTCGATTCCTAAAGGCACGAAGGGACATCTACGTCAACTTGCAAATGGTTCAAAGTTGATTATATATATATATATATATATATATATATATATATATATATATATATATATATATATATATATATGTGTGTGCGTGCGTCCGTGTGTGCATGTGCATGTTGTGTGTGCGTCGAAAGGTCCCCTCCCTGAAGCGTTAAAAAGCGCACAAGATGGCTACAATTGGTCTTACTTTGCCTCCGGGACTACACCGCAAGAACTGCTTAGAATCGAGCCTCAGTGTCCCATTATATACTCTGTGCTCGACGCTTACACAGGGAGGGAAATGGAAGGCGTGGTGGGGGGGGAGGGGGTTCTCGAAACTCCTAATTAATCCTTCTCTTACTCCTTCCTCCTTCCTCTATCCCTCCCCCATCTCTACCCCCCTCCCCCGGCTCCTTTGCAAACTTACACTGGAGAACAAGCAAGGAATGCAGTGGTGGGGAGGGGGAGGGGGGGGAAAGGGGAAAACTAATTATTTTGCTTTTGCGGTTTGAGTAAATTATGGTACTGGAATGAGTTTATACGAAAAGGTCTATTTTTTGTAATAATTTGTATAAGGGAATGTTATCAGTGCTATTATCTTCATTGCCATTATTATTTTTGTTGTTATTATTGTTACTATTGCTGTCAATATTATTGTCATCATTGCTATATTGTTTCGATATTTTTTGTTATTTTCATTATCAATGCAATTAAAGTAATAAATATTATTATAATCTGTTATTATAATCATTGCCTTTAATGTTATAACTATCATCGTTTCCATTATTACTATTCTTATTACTACTAATATTAATATTATTATCATTATAATCGTTATCATTACTATCATTATTATTTCCACAAACATTATTGTTAGCATCATTATCATTATCATTGACACTTATTGTTATTATCATATTGGTCATTTTCATCGTTATTTTTAAAGATTATTATTCTTATTTGTATTATTATTATAATCATTATTATCATTATCATTATTATCATTATTATATTATTATTAGTTGATGATATGATGATGAGATGATATCATTATCATTATTATTATTATTATTATTATTATTATATCATTATTGTCATAATTATCATTATTATTGCCATTGCTACAATCATCATCATCATTACTATAATCATTATTGCTATTATCCTCTTCATCATCAGTATTTTTATCTTTAATAATATCATTATTATTGATATCATCAATATTATTATTATTGAAATTGTTATCCTTATCATTATTAATTATCATTAATATTATCTTTATCATCATTAATCTGATTATCATCATATATATATATATATATATATATATATATATATATATATATATATATATATATATATATATATATATATATATATATATATATATATATATATATATATATATATATATATATACACATTTATATGTTTGCTTTTGTTAAAATCATTATCGATAATAATAGTAATCATGATAATCATTATATTATCATTATCATTGTTATTACTATCATCTTTATTGTTGTCACTATTATCATTCTCACTATTATTATCATGCATATTATCGTTATCATCATTACTAGTTTTTTTTTACTATCATAACTTTAGCTATTAACTTTATCATTATCACCATCATTATTATTATTATCATTACCATTATTATCACTACTATAATTTTAGTGTTATTTTTATTATTACTTGCATCATCGTTGTCATCATTATTATTACCATCATATCATTGCTGTTATCATTTTTTTTTATTATTTCCATCATGGTTATGATCATTCTCATTATTATCATTATCATTATTTTTATCACTATTATCATTGTAACTATTTTTGTTGAGTGTATTAAGATCATTATCATCATCATTATAACTATTGTTACTATCATTACATTTATTACCTCCGCCAAGGAGGTTATGTTTACGGACGTCACCTGTGTACTTGAGAAAGGTGATTTTAATGTTATTCTTTTAGTGTGAATATTCTTATTGCATCAGAGACCCTGTTGTCTTGACGGAGGTCTACGCTCTCTGAGTGCTTCTAGTTATAACTATGATTATTATTACTGTTATCATCATTATCATCACTGTCATTATTATCAATGATATTACTATCATAAGAACGATAGTTATAATAATAATGTTAATAACATTATTATTATCATATCATTTTTATTATCATCATGATTGTTATTATCATTACTGTCATTATCATATATATAATCATTATTATTCCCATCATCCTTATTATTACTATTATAATTATTATTACTATTTCTATTATTAGCATCACTATTATTATCATGATTATTGTTATTATTATATATTTTTTTATTTATATTGTCATAGTTATTGTTATTATTATAGTTATTGTTCTTCCTCTTACTGTTATCATTAATATCACTACTACTACTAATATTATGATTCTTTTAGTTATTTTTATTATCATTATAATTATCGATTTTTAACGTTTTCATGATGGTGATAATTACAATGGACATTATTCATATCATTATCACCATAATTACAATGAACATTATTCATATCATTATCACCATAATCACTACTATTCTTATCATTATCATTATTATAATTATCATCATTAGCTCTTTATTAGCACTGGTATTGTTAATATCATAAGCATTATCATTATTATTACCATCATTGATATCATGATCATTATCATTACTGATGGTATAATTCTTTTAGTCCATAATACCATTATAATCATTATTATCATCATAATTATTAGTAGCAGTATTTTTATTACGATTATTGTTATAATCATTATCAGGTCCCGACAACGCCTGTCGAAAGAGAGAGAGAGAGAGAGAGAGAGAGAGAGAGAGAGAGAGAGAGAGAGAGAGAGAGAGAGAGAGAGAGAGAGAGAGAGAGAGAGAGAGAGAGAGAGAGAGAGAGAGAGATTTTTTCCTTTCCTCCCAAAGAATATGACTTGAGGACATTGGCATTGGTCACTTGTCACGGTATTTAAAGAGAATACTCTTATTAGTATATGTGAATGAAGTGTCATGATTACCCACAAGAACCAACTTGATTTGATGACTTTGTAAAACAGTTATTTTCTTTTTTAAATGCATGTAGAAATAAATGGTGAATAATGAGAAATATCCTCATCAGTTTTTATTTTTGCTCGGACGCAAAACAGGAACTTTCATTCTTGTTGCCTTATTGTAATTATCCTTATTATTATTGCTGTTCTTATGCAATTTTTATCATTATCATTATCATTAGTATTGCTATAATTTCTTTTATACTCATTATTGTTGTTGTTATTACACGTTATTGCGTTTGCGTTTACAACTGCATGCAAAGACAAGCGCAAACTCCCTTATACACGCACTCACAAATTTACATGCACTAGCTCTCTTAATCTCTTCCTTTCTCTCTCTCAGTCTCTTTCTCCATATATATGTGTGTATACTCACACACATAAATATGTGTATATATACATGTATGTATGTATGTATCTATACATACATATATAGCGGGGATGATGATGCTTGCATTTAAAAAGAATCACTGAATACGCTCACAAACTTAACAACCTGTATGCTAAGACACAAACACTACCCTTTTACACATACTGTACATACAGAAATATATCCCCTCTCTCCCTCTCTCTCTCACATGCCCTATTGTCAGCTCCGCCACTCACCAACGTAATCATATGTATGGGTTCCGCGATGAGGATTTTGTTATATATATATATATATATATATATATATATATATATATATATATATATATATATATTGAAAGGATAACAAGAATAACAACTGATTTTGGCAATTCATTTCTATAAATATATTGGTCTAAATCATAACTACCGATCTTAGACAATATTCATATTGATTATTCCACAAATGGGGGTACTTGTTCTTCCATGGACATTTCGTCTTTTTAGGGCAGCTCAAGTAGGGGTATACCATTACCAAGGATCATTTCAGCATTTAGGGGCAGCTCATTTAGGGGAATTCCATTACCAAGCATCATTTCAGCAGTTTGGGCCAAGTCAACTAGGGGCAATCCATTACCAGCATCAGCTCATTTAGGGGGGCAGTTTGTCAACTAGGGGCATCCATTACCAAAGATCATTTCAGCATTTAGGGGCAGCTCCAGTAAGGGCATTCCATTACCAAGGATCATTTCAGCAGTTTGGGGCAGCTCAAGTAGGGGCACTCCATTACTAAGGATTATTTCAGCACTTTGGGGCAGCTCAACTAGGGGCATTCCATTACCAAGGATCATTTCAGTGTTTTGGGGCAGCTCATTTAGGAGCATTCCATTATAAAGGATCATTTCAGCACTTTGAGGTAGCTCAACTACGGGCATTCCATTACCAAGGATCATTTCAGCATTTTGGGGCAGCTCAAGGCGTGGCATTCCATTGTCAAGGAACATTTCGTCATCTAGGGCTACCAGTTTTTCCATGAACATTTCATTTCTGGGCAACTCATCATCTTGCAGGGACAGAACATTTGTGTCCACTTCTTCGTCATCGACATAGTCGACTATGGGCTGCTCTTCGTCCGAGGTTTGTTGTTCCTCTCGGGGCTCCTCATCGACAGACCTTTCCTCGCCCATGGGTTGTTCCATGGGCGGCGTGGCACTGAAGTCCTCCTCGCGTTCAACGTCTTCTCGGAAGAGGTTAGAGCGCAGCCCACACTCCGAAGGCCGCTCAGCTGCTGTTCGCTGAGGAACATTTGGGGAACAGCTTTTTACAGACGGACGGGTCGGGTCTTTGTGCCGACGTCTGCGGCGTAGACGAAGGCGGCGTTGTAGGAGGACATGGTCTCAGTGTTGTTGGAGAACATGTCGACGAGGAGGTCCTCCTCTGGGCTGAGGCTGGAGGGACTCCTCGTCTGGAGGTTGCAAAGCATCTTGAGGATGCAGCCGTCGGGGTCGAGTTGCCCCACGATTGACAGGAGCATGTTCTTGCCTTCATCGGCGTCTTGTTCTGTGTCGGGATCGACGGAACGGCCGTAGCGATAGTGTCTTCTCCCGTTATAACCTCTGTGATAGCGAGAACGGCCATGATAGAGCTGCCTGTTGTATCGCCGGTGACGCTCCACCGCGTAACCGACCAGCGCCGCGCCCTTAAGAACAGCCAAGCCACCCACTACGCCACCAACGGACAGAGAGGCTTCGCAGGACATAACGGCCCAAGACACCAGCAGGATCACCAGAGGGAGGTTTCGTGCGTGCATCTGCCGGAGGAGAATGATGGTGTTTGTTGCGTCTCATTTGTACGTGTAAATGTACGAAAGACTAAATGTATGATGTTTGCGATGATGGTGATAATGATGAACATGGAAACTATGGTTATTAAGATCATGATAATGTAGGAAAGGTAATAATGGTGATAATATTAACAATGATATTGTTGTAGTAGATTATTAATTGTCATCATGATAATGATAGCATAATGAAAATGGTAATGATTATTTTGACTGTAATGGCGAAACGACATCTTGTTACAGTACTGAAGATATTATTCATTAACATTATTACCTTTTCTGGCATGACATTCACAGTCAGATTCACGTTTATTGGTTATCTTTTTTTTCTGTAAACATTTTGATAATGACTGTATGGGAGGAATTCATTATTGGCAGTAGTGAATGTGCGGATAAATTGGTACAAAAACTGAAAATTTATTTAAATTTTCAACATAGTTTTTTAAACCCATTTAACGAGTTATCACGAGCTTCTACAACGGCAGCGTAGCCTGACACATCTGACACAAGTTGACAAACGACATAACTGACACGTCTTGACAAAGGTAACACCAAGTGACACTGGCCGGAACAAGTTTGCGAAGTGGTCTCATAGAATGCAGCTTGTGTTTAAACTGCATCCCACTAACACACACAGTTTCTAAGGCTACTTCATGAGTGTATAGTTCCATTTGCCTCAAATAATAACCAAATGTGACGAAAGATTTGTCCACAAAAATCGTCCAAATTGCGTTTGTGGCGGAAGAATTAGCGGCCGATTCCTAGGACATCAGGGGTTACACACGACAGCCTGCAAAATTCTAAGTCCCATATATATATATATATATATATATATATATATATATATATATAGTATGTATATATATATATATAGTATAGTATATATATATATATATATATATATATATATATATATATATATATACATATATATATATATATATAGTATATATAGTATATATATATATATATATATATATATATATATATATATATATATATATATATATATATATATATATATATATATATATATATATATATATATATATATATATATATATATATATATATATATATATATATATATATATATATATAGCATATATAATTATATGAACACACACACACACACACACACACACACATATATATATATATATGGGTGTGTCAGTGAGCACGAAACGCACAGGTGGCTATGTTCGTTCCTACCTTGACTTCGGGAGTACACCGCAAGAACTGCTCGAATTGCGCCTCGGTGTCCCATTATATACTCTGCACTTAACGCTGACACAGACTGGGAGATGGAAGGAGGGGAGGGGGGTTGGGTCGGACCTTCTAGTTAATCCTTCTCATATCCTCCCCCCCCTCCTCCCCCCTCAGTCTTCTCCCTCCACTTCCCCTCCCCAATCTCCCCCCTCCCTCCCACCCCACTCCCTGCGGCACCCTTGTAAACTCGCTATGGAGAACAAGTAAGGAATGCAGGAGTTGGGGTGGGGTAGGGGATAGGGTGGGTGGGGAGGAGGGCGTCAGAGGGAGAAGGAAAACCAATTGTTTCTTTTTGTGGTTTGAAAAAAATGATAACTAAATGAGTTTATACGAAAAGGTAGTCTTTTTTATCATTATTACTATTATTGTTCTTATTGGTACCATTGCTATCATCATCATCGTCATTATTTTTACTCTTATCGTTGTTGTTGTTACTTCTTTTATTATTGTCATTTTCATTTTCGTTACAATGAAAGTGATAATGACATTCATTATTATCATTATCTGTTGGCATTATTATTACCTTTATTTTTTTATCATTATCTTGAATATCAATATTATCATTATCACTATTATTGATATCATTATTACTATTATCGTGGTTATTATCATCGTTATTATAATTGTTCATTATAATCACTATTATCATCATTGCTATTATCATTATCATTAATATCATTATCATTATTATTATTATCACTAATCAGTATGGTTATTATCATTTCTAATAACATTGTTTATATTATCATTACCATTATCAATATTGTTATCATAACTATGTACATAATTATCATTATTGTTATCGTTATCAACTTATAATTACGAGTATTAATATTATAATGATCAAAATAATAATGATAAAAATATTAACTGTCATCATTATCATATTCATTTTCATTATTACCCTTATCAATGGCATCATCATAATAATTTTTGTTGTCATCATTTTTATTATGATACTTTTTATCGTTATGATCATCCTTTATCATCATATTATCATCATTTCATTATCAGTATTATTATCATTTTCATGATCATGAAAATTATGATTACCATTGATATACTTATGAATATCATTGTTATTATTGTTAATATTATTGCTTTCATTATTATTCATTACCATGTCTTTATTATCATTATTCTTATCATTGTTACCGTTATCATAATTATCATTATTATTGCCAATCTGCTATGATCATTTTATTAATACCATCATTGTATATGTATATGTGTACATATATATTTGTATATGTATCCATTTGTGTATATGTATATATTACATAAACGAATGGAATAAACGTTCGTTAGGGGGAAGCCAAATGCCTTCGCAATCGCAGCACAAACAGGTAAGTGCTTGTTCCTGCTGCTAGTTGAATTTGCAATTGTGTAATTGCCTTTACCATTACGGTATTGTAAAGCTGTTTGCGTGAATAATATGCTTATATATATATATATATATATATATATATATATATATATATATATATATATATATATATATATATATATATAAGAAAAACACACAAACACACTGAATACACTTACAAGCCTACCAATCTACACGTAAAGACACGTGGACAAACACCATTTTACATATACACTTTCTCTTTACCTTCTACTTTTAATTTTTTTCTCTCTCCCACATACTCATTCGCGGCCATAGCTACACACATATAAACATGAGTTTTGCTACGAGTAGTTCATTATGCGAATATATACATTATGAAATGACAGGATACCAAGAATAGCAATTGCTTCGGTAATTCATTTATTTGAAGATATTGTCCTTATGAATAGCTATCGATCTTAGTTAATAACATATTGTTTATTCCATAATTAGGGACACCAGTTCTTCCATGGACATTTTGTCATTTCGGGGCAACTCATCATCTTCGTCAAAGATTTGTTGTTCCTGTCGAGGCTCCTCATCGACAGGCCGTTCTTCGCCCACGGGTTGTTCCATGGGCGGCGTGGCACTGAAGTCCTCCTCGCGTTCAACGTCTTCTCGGAAGAGGTCAGAGGCGCAGCCCCACACCCTCTGAAGGAGGCCGCTCAGCTGCTGTTCGCTCAGGGACATTTGCGGGAACAGCTTATTACAGACGGACGGGTCGCGGGTCTTTGTGCCGACGTCCGTGGCGTAGACGAAGGCGGCGTTGTAGGAGGACATGGTCTCAGTGTTGTTGGAGAACATGTCGACGAGGAGGTCCTCCTCTGGCGTGAGGCTGGAGTGACTCCTCGTCTGGAGGTTGCAGAGCATCTTGAGGATGCAGCCGTCGGGGTCGAGGTGCCCCACGGTGGACAGGAGCATGTTCTTGCCTTCACCGGCGTCTTGTTCGGTGTCGGGGTCGACGGAGCGGCCGTAGCGATAGTGTCTTCTCCCGTTATAACCTCCGTGATAGCGAGAACGGCCGTGATATTGCCGTACGTTGTATCGCCGGTGACGCCCTACCGCGTAATCTACCAGCGCCGCGCCCTTCAGAATAGCCAAGCCACCCACTAAGCCATCAACGGAAGAATAGGCTTCGCAGGACACAACGGCCCAAGACACCAGCAGGATCACCAAAGGGAGTTTTCGTGCGTTCATCTGCCGAAGGAGAAAGATAGTTTTTGTTGAGTCTCATTTTTAAGCATCAGCACCTGTGGGTGCATTTGTATCAAAACAGAATACATCATTATTATAATCATTGTCACCATAGTGATAATATTGCTAATGATTTACATTAAGCCCCACGCACACTAGTTATACCTTTATTATCAGTGTCAGCATATTGATAATATCGATAAGAATTGTATGATAGTTATAAGGTATTAACGGCAGCGACTATTCAAGTTGGTATAACCACTGAAAGTTTGTTTAGATTTTCAATGCTATTCTATAAATCCAAGTATCAGTATATAGTTGTTGTTTAACTTGACAACTGAGACGAACTGATGTTGTCACAACTGACCTGAACTGACATTTCTTGGCAAAAGGACAGAGATTGACACAAGTGACACTTTTGCGAAGGGAATAAATGGATGTAGAATGGATTATAAGTATATGCAACTAACTGACACTTGCAAATCTTCCATGGATTCTTCATGAGCGAAAGTATAATTTCATTTATTTGAAACTATATGGCGGAAGGTAAATCGCCGAATGATCGTCCAAATCACGTTTGGACAAAGAATTAGGAATCAATTTCTGAAGACACGAAGGGACATCCGCAACAGCCTACAGATGTTTCGAAGTCGGATATATATATATATATATATATATATATATATATATATATATATATATATATATACATGTGTATATGTACATATATATACATATATATACCTAAATATATATACATACACACACATACACACACACACACACACACACACACACACACACACACACACACACACACACACACACACACACACATAATATATATATATATATATATATATATATATATATATATATATATATATATATATGTATATATATATATCATATATATACATAGATATATACGTATTACGTATACATACATATATATCCATACATACATACATATATATATATATATATATATATATATATATATATATATATATATATATATATATATATATATATGTATGTATGTATGTGAACACGGAAATTTACCAGT